AGAGTTTTAAACTATTTGTTTCTGTCATTCAGCAGAACAGCGAAATAACAGACTCAGAAAATCAATGATGGGGAAATCTGCTGTTGCTCTCAAAGGAAGTCATTTAAATGTTTCGAGTACTCCGAGACTTGACAAGAGAGAGAGATAGAGAGAGAGAGAAGGCCACGCCCAACAGCAGTTTGTTTATCAGTGGAAAGTTTCTAACATTTATTCTGTGATTTCACCCATTTGAGACATTTTAATGACATAAAGATCACTGTGCATGACTTAGATAGATTTAAAGAAGCTTTCCCTTATTAAAGGTCAGAGGTCACAGTCAAGGCCTTGTGTGTTGTCGGTCTGACTGGGCTTCCACCTGCTGGTGATATCCTGTCAAAGCACTTTACAGTGACACTCCACAAACAAAAAAAAGGAAATTGGGTGGTTGTTACAAAAGTCTAACTTTTAATTGGTACAAAATAATTTTACGTTTCTCTGATGAACGTAATTAAATCATGCAGGATTTGTATGAAATTTAACAACTTCATTTATTCTTGTTCAGATGACATGATACAATCTAGTAAGAGTGGTTAGTTGCCCGGACTCACAAAATTCACAAGATCACACAAGATTTCAAACAACAGGAAAAACACTGGAGTTATAAGAGGCAGACAACTATGCACGCATCACATGTATGCTGTTGCTATTTATTGTGGTTTAACCTCTCAAGGACAAAAAATGCTGCATCAAACCTTGCAATCATAGTTTTAATACTTTTGCGACACACATACTGGCAGCTCGGTGGTGCAGTGGTTAGCACTGTTACCTCACAGCAAGAAGTAGGAGAAGGAGTTCAAATCCACAATTGGGCAGTGGGTTCCATCTGGTTTGCAGTTATTACGCCTAGGTTAATATGTCATTCTAAATTAATTTTAATGTTTTTTTCTCTGTATGTGTTAGCCCTGTCATAGACTGGCGATCTGTCCAGGGTGTACCCTTCCACTTACCCTATCACATCTGGGATAGGCCCCAGCTCCCCCACAACGCCGATGAAGATAAGAGAGTGGAGTGAAAGTTGTTATAAATCTATTACGTTTTAAGTTAACTAGACTGTTGAAGATTATGTAATATGAAGACAACATATAGTACTTAAGGGACCAAGTACTATTGGGGTAAAAGTTATTGTATAGTGTTGGAATAAAGTGACAAAATTGCGAAGGATTTAAATATTCCAAGAGCTCCACTTATTTCATCTAAATATGTTTCAATCACGTTTTATCAGCACAAAAGGTTTATTGAATATGAATAGTTGTGTTGTTTTAACTCAGTTGTTTAAGTTTCTGTCAAAGCAAAACATTTTTGTGCAACCAATGTCCACTATTCAGTTAAATACAGGGAGTGCAGAATTATTAGGCAAATGAGTATTTTGTCCACATCATCCTCTTCATGCATGTTGTCTTACTCTAAGCTGTATAGGCTCGAAAGCCTACTACCAATTAAGCATATTAGGTGATGTGCATCTCTGTAATGAGAAGGGGTGTGGTCTAATGACATCAACACCTATATCAGGTGTGCATAATTATTAGGCAAAATGGGTCAAAAGAAGGAAAAGTCAAAAATAGTGAGATATCTTGCAGAGGGATGCAGCAGTCTCAAAATTGCAAAGCTTCTGAAGCGTGATCATCGAACAATCAAGCGTTTCATTCAAAATAGTCAACAGGGTCGCAAGAAACGTGTGGAAAAACCAAGGCGCCAAATAACTGCCCATGAACTGAGAAAAGTCAAGCGTGCAGCTGCCAAGATGCCACTTGCCACCAGTTTGGCCATATTTCAGAGCTGCAACATCACTGGAGTGCCCAAAAGCACAAGGTGTGCAATACTCAGAGACATGGCCAAGGTAAGAAAGGCTGAAAGACGACCACCACTGAACAAGACACACAAGCTGAAACGTCAAGACTGGGCCAAGAAATATCTCAAGACTGGTTTTTCTAAGGTTTTATGGACTGATGAAATGAGAGTGAGTCTTGATGGGCCAGATGGATGGGCCCGTGGCTGGATTGGTAAAGGGCAGAGAGCTCCAGTCCGACTCAGACGCCAGCAAGGTGGAGGTGGAGTACTGGTTTGGGCTGGTATCATCAAAGATGAGCTTGTGGGGCCTTTTTGGGTTGAGGATGGAGTCAAGCTCAACTCCCAGTCCTACTGCCAGTTTCTGGAAGACACCTTCTTCAAGCAGTGGTACAGGAAGAAGTCTGCATCCTTCAAGAAAAACATGATCTTCATGCAGGACAATGCTCCATCACACGCGTCCAAGTACTCCACAGCGTGGCTGGCAAGAAAGGGTATAAAAGAAGAAAAACTAATGACATGGCCTCCTTGTTCACCTGATCTGAACCCTATTGAGAACCTGTGGTCCATCATCAAATGTGAGATTTGGGAAAACAGTACACCTCTCTGAACAGTGTCTGGGAGGCTGTGGTTGCTGCTGCACGCAATGTTGATGGTGAACAGATCAAAACACTGACAGGATCCATGGATGGCAGGCTTTTGAGTGTCCTTGCAAAGAAAGGTGGCTATATTGGTCGCTGATTTGTTTTTGTTTTGTTTTTGAATGTCAGAAATGTATATTTGTGAATGTGGAGATGTTATATTGGTTTCACTGGTAAAAATAAATAATTGAAATGGGTATATATTTGTTTTTTGTTAAGTTGCCTAATAATTATGCACAGTAATAGTCACCTGCACACACAGATATCCCCCTAAAATAGCTAAAACTAAAAACAAACTAAAAACTACTTCCAAGAACATTCAGCTTTGATATTAATGAGTTTTTTGGGTTCATTGAGAACATGGTTGTTGTTCAATAATAAAATTATTCCTCAAAAATACAACTTGCCTAATAATTCTGCACTCCCTGTAAATCCTACACGTTCTTTGAACAACATTGCTTTTATTTTCACAGACTGTACACAAAAATGAAACAAACATGAAGGCAACAAAGAACCAAAAACTAGAGACAAAAGTAATTAAAACTCAGAGGTTTTGAAAAATGAAATATAATAATCCTTTAATTCCAAAGAAGTGTTTTGGATTTTGTTTGTGTTTTGTCTCTAGGGGCCACCGTAATGACCATATGCACAGAGCATGTACAAGAATTTAAATTTGCAATGCTCCCATGGCCCTCAGTGTATGAACAACAATGAAGAACTTAAAGATAAAAAGATCAAAATAAATGGTTTGGTATGGCTGTGGGGCAGGTGGTTCAGAGGGAAGAGGTGAATGCAGGTCTGGAGTTTTTGTGTGTGAGAGAGTCGAGAGGGACAGAGCAGGGATAGCCTAAAGGCCAGAGAGGGGAGGTGCATTTCACCATAGGTCTTGAATGCAGCTATGGACGAGTGCGCCGGACAACAGCAGCATGTGGAGCAGCTTTAAAGGTATGAAAAGTGATTCGATTTATTTTAAGTTTCTTATATCTATGTCTTAAGGTTTCTGTTGAATAGGAAAAGTACACCAAAAATCTAAATTTCAGCATTTTCTGTCTGAATGTAAAAAGTTATTTCACAATGATGCTAATATTGGTTAGCTAGTTGATAATTTGGAAATATGTTTTAGCCAAGTAGCCCGAATAAGCAAACCACATATAAATTAGACATTCAGAACTGACTTAGCTTAAAAATCAAGATACGTTTGATCAAACTTGGTCTTTGACAACCAAAGTTTCAATATTTTAGGGGATTTCAACTTTCTATGCTTTTATGATTTTAAAATAAAAAAGTTTATTAGCAGCCTTAGGTTTTTCATGTGCAAGCTAGGAATGAGTATTAGTTTGTTGATTAAGAGGTGCTAATCAAAAAGAAAAAACTAGCCTAACTTCACATACAGGTCTATTATGATATTTGTTTTATTTATTTATTATGTCACCCATATGTCACAAAAATTTGATTTGCAAAATACAGATTCCTCAAGCGATGAGAGTGAATCAGCGGCTGCTTAATATGGACATTAAACAATAAGAGATCCAACATGTCCTCTTATCTGGACCGACAGCACTGATCACAGTGAGGATTACAGAGTCTGTTACACATACTAGTCGTTCTGTGGTGAAGGAAATGTGTCTCTATTAGAAGGACCAGACCTCAGACCTCATACTTCCATTCTTCTTGTTATCTCCAAACACCTTCTTGTCCCATTTACGTTTCTGTTCTAGTGTTCATGTCCCACCCTCTCTCTCTTTGCTCGTTTGTCACTTTGTCACGTCTCATTGCAACCAGGGAGATCTGCCTGACCCAGGATCAGACACTGAACCTCAGCCTGAGGCAAGGGTGGGCAACTCCAGGCCTCGAGGGCTGGTGTCCTGCAGGTTTTAGATCTTAACCTGGGTCAACACACCTGAATCACATGATTAGTTCATTCCCAGGCCTCTGGAGAACTTCAAGAAATGTTGAAGAGGTCATTTAGCCATTTAAATCATCTGTGTTTAATCAAGGACACACATAAAACCTGCAGGACACCAGCCCTCGAGGCCTGGATTTGCCCACCCCTGGCTGAGGTGTAGATAGTTGTTTACCATTCATTCAATTGAATTTGATTTATAGAGCACCAAATCATCCCAGCTGTTGCCTCTCATCTTCTATCAATAAAGTTATGTTTTATATTCACTCTCATGTTGTTTACCTTTTACATTAGAGCAACCAAATCTATATTAAAAATACTGCAAACTTACTGAAGCTGCATGTATGACCATGTTTTTCTGCACTTGTGCACAATGGTACCTCTGTCGCTCTCTCTCACAAACAAGAACACACACACAGACACACACACAGCCTTTATCTTAAACGGTGCAATATAATAAATATAATTATCACATGTTTAGTCATTACCACAAACATAAATTATTTTTTTCTTTGATCGGAGGATCAATCAGTGAAAGAGATGCGCTACCATAAACCTCAGTGTAGAAGCGCAAGGAAAATTAACCCGCAGCTGCCATCACCTGACCACATGTAAGTCACGTGTGTGGAGGCTCAAATGCAGCAATGCGTAGCTGTAGTGTCTCCGTGATGTACGAACATATATAAAGAGGATTGGATCCCCGCAAAATGCGCATGTCAGTGTTCGTGTTGGAGTTTAACTTGTGACGTAGAGCTCGTTACCATGGAGCCTGCCGACAGAAGAAGGGGTTCCCCTCTATGGCAGCACTTTGAGCTGATCTCTCCCAATAAGGTACTCCATACAATATACCTCCATCCTTCGTGCATCCTTCGTGCATCCTTCCTCCATCCTTCCTCCATCCTTCCTGCATCCTTTATCCATCTATACTCTTTCTATCCTCCATCTGTCTGTTCTGCTGATCCGTATCAGCGTCACGTGACCACAGTCTTTGCTCCATGTTAGAAACACTGGAGCGGAGTCACCATAATCATCTCATTTTCTGCTGAATTTATTTAAATGTTTATTGAAACCATAGCGACACATTTTTGATCTCAGCATCTCTCGCCCTTTAAACACGTTAAAATGACTGAATCTCACAAAATGATACGTAGCCATTTTTGTTTCCATGGCAACAGCTGAGCAGCATCTTCACCACCAGGTGGAGCACCAGTCTGATCATAGGCTGGAGGAAACATGGTGGATGATCACCTGAGCTGTACTCAGCTTCTGATAAACAATCAAATCAGATACAGAAAACAGGATTAATATTCATGAATGACAACAAGGGAAATGATGACATCATAACAGAAACGCAAACAAGACGTACATGAGTATAAAACATGCCAGACTGAAGATGAGACGTCAACAGCATCGCAAACATTAACTTTTAAAGCTTCCATGTGGTTTTACATTTCTTCCATGAAAACAGGAAGTGCCGCTTTTCATTTGAAGACTCACATTTATGGACGTGGACGTGGAACAGTATAAATCTGGGAGCTTTGTTTGGACATGAAGTTGGTAATGTGTCTGTGTGACAGCTGTGTGGAAGCATGAGAGCAACGTTTGCGGGAAAATCCACAGACTGTACCACTCGGACGTGTTTCAAGGAGGTTTTTCACAATAAAATCAAAGCATCGGTTTAAATAAAACCTCCTTCACCTAGTAAGGAAACATTTTGTGGACACGATTTATTTCCATTTAACAAAGTTAGTTCAGTGAGAGATGGTAGGAGGAGCAGAGGTCAGCTCATGGTGACAGAGGTCAAACAGATGTGAGGAGGAACAGCACACACAGCACTGGTGTGTTTCATCTCCACACATAGACAAACCACAGCAACACTGACTCCACTCTCAGCCTCCCAGTGACCATGAGCTTACCCGTGTCACCGGTGCCAGCCTCTGTGGAGCCCAGTGTGTCATATGATGATGATACAGGACATTTTCCACACCCAGCTCCACGCTGAGTCCTGGCTTCAGTGGGTGAGTCCATCCAGCAGAGACGTGGAGACACAAAGACTGAGAACGGCTGGACAGGTTCAGGTGTTACACTTCAGTTCAGTGTTCATGAACGCAGGTTCATTGTTGTGCACTAGAACCTGATGTAGAAGTTACAGCATGCAAGCACACGGTGATGGGGCCGAGGAGCAGCTCTTTACTGACATCTAGTGGTTCTACATCTTTTTCCTGGTTAATAAAGTTCAGCTTTCTTCTCCTGCAGATCATTTGACAAATCTTTTGCTGTCCCCATGACTCGGGAGCCAAAAACGTCGGTGCAGCACTGGACCTGCAGCGTCTGTCTGAAGGCCTGAAACTCCTCCCACGCTGATAACAGGTGAGCATGGTGACCTTCAGTAAGGTAAACCTGTGGTTGTTTCTGTCCAACACAGCTGTAGGGCAGTAAAGAACGTCACCCAACCTCCACCAGAGAGAAAGAAAAATGTCTGTATCACGATTCATATTCTGTGAGAGTAATCACAGATCCCTGTGGGGTGTTTGAACACTCGTACACACTTCCAGCTGCACTGTGGAGGTGCAGTGATTGGAGTGTACCCGTGGGGATCTGTGATTTTGAAGGCTAGGACGTGTTTCAGCCTCTGCTGTCGTTGATGTCACAGAATAGTTAAATCCTTCCTGTTTCATGGGATCGTCCTTGTCTTCTGACAGCAAGCAGAAACATGGCTGTGGTATAGTTTTGTCATGTTGACGTCTTGTCACGATGTGAGCGTTTCATTTTATGACCAGTCCTGATGGACTGTGATTAGTGAAACTGGAGACTTGCTCCGCCTTCCACCTCTTCCATCATTTTCCTGTTTGTTATCCCAGTGTGTGTGTGCTTTGATGTGGATATATCGTCAACGTGTCCTTTAATGACGTGACTGTGTGGCTGCTGTTGCTCTGTCTCTCGTTTCTCTGGATCAGCTTTGTTTTCTCAGTCTGGAGGAAATGGGTGTAATACTCATGCCTACTCTAGGCCCCTCCCACAGGATAGACAGATTGACTGTGGCATCATCATGTGATAAAACCCATTCTGTTAAATCTTTCTGTACTTCCTGTTTAGTGACCTCATCATTTAGCACAGCCTCATTAAATCTGCAGTATTTAGATAGTTTACTCGTCCTGTCCTCACTGCCAAAGATACTGGTTTGTGTCCACACACAGTGGTGGGTTCTTTATTACAGTCACTGGTCCTATATAGCTTTTTACCAGGTGGTGTTGAAGAGCTCCCATGGACACGGGACATGAAGGTGACGTTAGTGGCCCAGTTCTGCTGGGAGCCGCTCCACAGTCTGTCTGAGAGCACAGCTGAAGTTAAATATACACAATATAAAAGTTTAAGACGTTTTTGTTTAAGCTCCCTCTTCTCACATGTTCTGTCTTCGCATCCAGCTGTTGGGTCCGCGTCTCGGTGCAGGAGATATCTGACCGTGCTTTCGTCTTTGTTGTTGACTTTGTTGTTGGTCTGTTCGTGCCCCTCTCAGCTTTCTGTCCTTATCTTTTCTCTCAAACTGATTTTCCACATATGCAGCCCGTTATGATCCAAAGCTGTCCAGCGGGAAAATCACAGTCCTTGACAGGCCAATTCTGGCCCCCGAGCCTTATGTTTGACAGCCCTGCTCTAGAGGATGCTGACACTGTAAAAACATTTAGTGTTGCAGTTTTCACTGAAGGCCAGCATATCAGGAATGGAGCTGGGCTTTTGTTGGCTCCTGAGAAGAAGAGCAAAGACAAACACATCTTCTCTTCCTCCTGAATAAACAGGAAACAGGAAAATCCTCCACTACAAATCAGAGTCAGTGGAGCATCGCTGCAGTTAGAACTGCTTCATTTATGCACAGGCAGGTGGAGGTTTTCCTGCTTCAGCTGCTGCTGGAGCTTCAACAGATGTGGTGATGGAGCAGAGGGTAGCTGATTACTGGCTGCATCTATAATAAGCACTGTTTGAATCAGACCCACAGCTGGGTTTCTGAACCTCACACTGCTGAGTGCCTCACTTGAACAGTGGACATTCATTTATAAGGAGCTCTATGAGCAAAAAAGGAATATAAAAGTAATATAAGGAGAAAAGCAGCACTAAGACACTTCACTGTAGCTTTGTGGAGCTCTTACACACAGTGTGTGTGTTCTAGTCCACATCACAATAAGACACTTACTGAGAAACAGCTAGTGCTGAAGACGCTGCAGCCCAGAGGTTGGAGGAACAGACAGTGACACACAGACATGAATCAAGAATCGGTTGCAGTGCGAGAAACAACACAGTGGCAGAAATAGAATATATGTTATTTATTTATTTTAGTATATATGTTATATACATGTCGATTCATCTGCCCATGGATACAGAATACAATTAGAAAATATGAAATATCAATGATTATGAGTGGGGTGAGTGCAAAATCCAGGTAGGACATGATGTGCAAAGAATCCAGAGTGCAACCTTTTCACATAAATAAATAAGTGTGTTATTGTAAGTGTGTTGTTGTAAGTGTGTTATTGTAAGACGTTAGCAGAGCAGTGATCGGTGCGATTCTGTGGACAGGTGTGCTTCATCCACACCTGAGCTGAGATCAGGAGTATCTGTACTTGGTTTGACTCTGTGGGAGATCTATGCATTTTCTTCTGCTTATCCAGCTCAGGGTTACAGGAGGCTGGAGCCAGAGTACACCCTGGCCAGGTCACCAGCTTATCACAGGGTAACATTTGCAGTGACACCTGCAGAATCACCGGGTGACCTAACCCCACTAACTGCATGTCTGTGGACTGTGGGAGGAAGCCTCCAAACACAGAGAACCCAGAGAGAACATGCAGACTCCACACAGGAAGGCCAGGTGGGGGATTCAAACCCTGCTGTGAGGCAACAGAGCTAATTACTGCACCACCGTACTGCCTCTGGCTGGGTTGTAGCACATCTAATACTTACCTCACTCAGGGACATGAAAACAATTCATACACAGCCTTCATGCTTTTGTTGATGTTCTGTCTCTTTTAAAATGAAAAAAACATAACACAAAAGACTTCATTGTGTGTAACTTATCAGATAATTATTCCCCCTTCTGTGATTTAAGCTGTTCCTGCTTCTGCTGCTTTTATAAAAAAAAAAAGCAAATCAGACTTGGAGGAAAAGAAACAAAACAGAAGCATAAGTGGGCTACCAGCATTGGTGTCTCCATTAAAACATGATTCACCATGGTAACAGAGTCCTCTTGACTCAGAAGATACTGAAATTTGTTTTTAATGGATTTATTTTTGGTTTGTTTGAGACGGTCTGTGTGTGTGTGTGTGTGTGTGTGTGTGTGTGTGTGTGTGTGTGTGTGTGTGTTTGTCAGCGCTGATACAGAGACTAATGGGTTTGCGAGGATACCGTTTAAATCACTTACTGAGAACAAACAAAGTCTTTTCTTTGAAAGTTTTGAAGCTAAATTCAGACACGGGGACGGATGATATTTATAAGTGCTTTATGAAACCCGTCCTCATCGTAGCAATCAAGTGCTTCCATCATCATGATGGCACGTTGTTTTAGAGCACAGTCAGCACGTGGCCTGTTGGCTCATATTCTACATCATTGTGTGTCGCTGTGATTGTCACGTCCATATGATACGACTTTCACCTGCTGGCAGGTAGAACAAATACTGTCCAACACAGCTGTAGGGCAGTGACTGTTACAGCCACAGGGGAGCTCCTTCATCCCCACAGTCACACTGTGCAGTGCACACACGCACACACACACACACACACACACACACACACACACACACACACACACACGCACACACACACACACGATGTCACAGACATGTGTTTACACGATTACTTAGCCCTTGAGCTCAGCTCATGATCATTAACATGAACTGTTATGATCGCTGATCAAAGACCAGAATCAGAATCAGAATCGTGTTTATTGGCCATGTATATGCGCAGACACATACAAGGAATTTGGTTCAGGTAGATGGTGACTCTCAAGCACAGCAATGTAAATCTCAACAATATAAGCAACGCAATACACCCACCCTCCCACACACACACACACACACACACACACACACACACACACATGGATCCCCCATTCAGAGATGGTCTTTCTCTTTTTAAATGGCCTTCTTGTTTGTTCTCAGTAAGAGATTCAAGCTGTATCCTCTCAAATCCATTCAATTCAATTCAATTCAATTTTATTTATATAGCGCCAAATCACAACAAAAGTCGCCTCAAGGCGCTTCATAGATACAGAGAAAAACCCAACAATCATATGACCCCCTATGAGCAAGCACTTTGGCGACAGTGGGAAGGAAAAACTCCCTTTTAAAAGGAAGAAACCTCCGGCAGAACCAGGCTCAGGGAGGGGCGGGGCCATCTGCTGCGACCGGTTGGGGTGAGAGAAGGAAGACAGGATAAAGACATGCTGTGGAAGAGAGACAGAGGTTAATAACAGATATGATTCAATGCAGAGAGGTCTATTAATACATAGTGAGTGAGAAAGGTGACTGGAAAGGAAAAACTCAATGCATCACGGGAATCCCCCGGCAGCCTACATCTATTGCAGCATAACTAAGGGAGGATTCAGGGTCACCTGGTCCAGCCCTAACTATATGCTTTAGCAAAAAGGAAAGTTTTAAGCCTAATCTTAAAAGTAGAGATAGTGTCTGTCTCCTGAATCCAAACTGGAAGCTGGTTCCACAGAAGAGGGGCCTGAAAACTGAAGGCTCTCCCTCCCATTCTACTTTTAAATACTCTAGGAACAACAAGTAGGCCTGCAGAGCAAGAGCGGAGCGCTCTAATAGGGTGATATGGTACTACAAGGTCATTAAGATAAGATGGGGCCTGATTATTTAAGACCTTGTATGTGAGGAGCAGGATTTTAAATTCAATTCTGGATTTAACAGGAAGCCAATGAAGGGAAGCCAAAACAGGAGAAATATGCTCTCTCTTTCTAGTCCCTGTCAGGACTCTTGCTGCAGCATTTTGGATTAGCTGAAGGCTTTTCAGGGAGTTTTTTGGACGTCCTGATAATAATGAATTACAGTAGTCCAGCCTGGAAGTAATAAATGCATGAACTAGTTTTTCAGCGTCACTCTGAGACAGGATATTTCTAACTTTAGAGATGTTGCGCAAATGGAAGAAAGCAGTCTTACATATTTGTTTAATATGTGCGTTGAAGGACATGTCCTGGTCAAAAATGACTCCAAGGTTCCTCACAGCGTTACTGGAGGCCAAGGTAATGCCATCCAGAGTAAGAATCTGGTTAAATACCATATTTCTAAGATTTTCAGGGCCGAGTACAATAACCTCAGTTTTATCTGAATTAAGAAGCAGAAAGTTAGCGGCCATCCAGGTCTTTATGTC